ATGTGGTCACAAAGCTTGAAGAGGGAAATAGTAAAAGTCACACATACTTGTCTGCAAAAGTGTTAACCTTTCCTACATGCATGCTTACTCCTAATCTTTTTCACTTAGTATAAAAAATGATAACAAAATACTTAGTTACACTGATTCAACTTAAATACTTTACTTAATACCAACAAAACTAATTGTTATGGGTTAAATCAGGTAAAAGCTGCTCTTTAAGGTAACAATTTCGGTTCAACACTTTACCAGAGGTCTTCAACTTTGCGCCTGGAGTGCCAGTGTCCTGTAAGTTTATTTCAAACCTGCTCCAACACACCTGCCTATGATTTTCAAGCAGCCTTAAAGACTTTGATTAGCTGGTTCAGACTCTGCAGTGGGTCTTCAGGGGCAGGGTTGAAGACCTCTGGTGTAGGCCAGAATATAATTGAGTCATGGGGTGGGCCTATTTGACTTGGATCAGTCAGCAAGCATTTAGAAACCACAAAAAACTCCCCAGCAACACCTTAATATTAGCTATGTTTGAACGACCTATTTTTAAGCACATTTTGGAATATCGCATATAAAAAAAAAAAGCTGAATGGAAATGCCAAGATGTGCATAAATTCTAAAAAATGTGCATACAAAAACATATGCACAAAATTGAGTAGGATAAACTTTTGATCCAATAAGAAAAAATGCACATAAACTACAATGGAAACACATTTATCAAATAAATTCCACCATGCACATCAAAAAAGTCATGTGACTTTGCACGATGGGACGGGATAACTTGACTAACCAGTGGACCGATCTCGTTGCACAGCATCTGAAATGATGTTTTGGTCGTTCTGAAATGCCCGAGTAAAGTCTGTCGTCAAAGTATATCTGTATTATTGTCTTACACGACTGCGTTCCCAAACACCAGACATCCACCTCCAAAAGCAATGACTGCATTTGTTTCGTCTGCTCTCTCTGAGGTGAAAGTAATTTATCATATATGAAAATTACTATATTAGGTGGCTTCTACTACTTTTCTTAGTGATATTTAGTGCCAGTTTATTGGGAAGTGATGATTTTGTTCTCTTTGACTCGTTGGATGGAAACAGTGCTTTATTTACAAATGTTTTATGCGATATTCCAGTTTGCGCATAAGTTAAATTCCCATCTTTGGATGGAAACATAGCTATTCACTTAGAAGCCGCTAAAAAAAGAAAAAAAAAAACACTGACAAATCCTGTCTTTTCCGTTTGACCTGATATTCATACACGATTATAAAGATCATATAATATTTTCAAGCCCACCTTTAAATAGTAACCTATGTACATGTGTGCTGCGGCTTAGCATGCAACATGATGGCGCACAAAATCCCACATGAACCATGTCAGACTGAACAACAGGCTTCACAGAAATTATGGTAGATTGCTATTTAGAAAGACCAACGCATAATGTGGTGCAAGATCCTGTGCAGTGGAACACGCAAATGTGGTTTGATGAGTCACCTTTAAACAACCAGACAAGAGAAGGTCACCATATATGTTGTTAGCTGCTAGACATGAAGCAGAATCAGTTTTTTTTTTGCAGGGATGTGTTCCTAGATCAAGAACATTTCTGTGAAAAACAATGCCAACCGTTAAATACCCCTAAAATCTAAGGGAAACACAGGCCGATAAAACCCCATAAATGTAACCCAATAATCTGTTTGGTTTGAATGTTTTTCCAGGACCAACAAAGATGTTGACATGTCCTACTTGGCATAATCTCATATAGGACCACCATCTCATGGGAATCATTGGATCTAATCGCATAGTCATGGATTAGAGACATTGCTCAACAATTTCAACAATGATTTCATGAACGTCAGGATTATGTCAGATACATTCCTCAGTTTCTCCAATCCCCAGATCGGACCTCGACTGCACATTCAGGATTGGATTGAAGGCAGTCCTGCAGAAAGACGGTTCCTCTTCCTCTATTGTCTTCTGTCTGGCGTTCAGCGGCTTGCTCAGAGGACGAACGGAGGCACCTGGGTTTCCATGGGGTCTGCGTCTATAAATAGGATCTGTGTTCTAGTGAGCTCCAGCAGGATTTCTCTAGGTTTAATTCAATAACCTGCAGCAATCAGACACATCTGTGGCCCACGATCCCTCTCCCGAGCTGCGGCACGTGTGAAATGAGCAGTAAGTGGTTTACTGAAGGTTTTGGTGACCTACGAAGCTAATTCCCTTGACAAGCATTAAATACCCCTCAGGGGTAATAGAGCTGCTGCCGTTGTTTCCATGGGGACACGAGACATGTATCTCCATGGTTCCACTGCATTTCTCATTGAGATAAATATAGAGAGATACACAGCACTCTTATAGTGTGTCTTTGACCAAATTGAGGTCAACTGTATCTACTGTAATTCCTGGCACACTGATACACACGTTTTGATATCTAGAGCGGGTAAAACCTTAAACCTAGTTTTAATTATTATTGATATAATACTGGTGTGTTAGCATGAAATTCAAAATAATCCTATATTTTTCTAAGTGCGTGTTATGCATCTTATTGTGAACTATTCATTTTTCAATAATCCGTTGCATTTGAATGTACTGTATATCACAATACAGAAGAAAAGATATGTCACTTATGACACTTCACATATGTCACTATAACATATGTCCTTTAATTATCTATTGTTTTTTTTTTAGATAATTTTTTAACTAACAATTAAAAATCAGCATGTCTATGCAAAGCTTTTGTCTGCAATTTGAGCTGTCATCATTTGGGGTCTTTTCTCAGCAAATATTAATAACTTTTATTAATTGCAATCCAATATGATGTAGCCTATTTACCTGAATTTACATTATATGTGACCCTGGAGCACAAAACCAGTCATAAGGGTCAATTTTTCAAAATTGAGATTTATACACCATCTCAAAGCTGAATAAATAAGCTCTCAATTGATATATGGTTTGTTAGGATAGGACAATATTTGGCAGAGATACAACTATTTGAAAATCTGGAATCTGAGGGTGCAAAAAAAAAATCAAAATATTGAGAAAATCACCTTTAAAGTTGTCCAAATGAAGTTCTTAGCAATGCATATTACTAATCAAAAATTAAGTTTTGATATATTTATGGTAGGAAATTTACAAACTATCTTCATGGAATATGATCTTTACTTAATATCCTAATGATTTTTGGCATAAAAGAAAAATCAATAATTTTGACCCATACAATGTATTTTTGGCTATTGCTACAAATATACCCCAGCGACTTAAGACTGCTTTTGTGCTCCAGGGTCACATATAGTCGATATCTTGAGAGCAAATATAATATCAATTTATATAGCCTAATACAATTTAAAGATATTGCACCTAATTGGCTTCATAAAATAAAAAAACAAACTTGGTAACACTTTATTACACGTGTCCTTGTTACACGTTACATGTACTTACTATTATAATAACAATAAACGATGGGGTTGATAATATGATGATGAGAGAATACTAAAAATATTATTATTTGTGTTCCATAGATTAATAGTCTTATGGGATTGGGTGAGCAAATTATGACACAATTTTCATATTAAAGTAACCCTTTAAGATTACTAAACTTGAGGAATCTTTTTTTTTTTTTTTGTTGCAAATTCCTTCACAACTTTGTTTTCTGCGTGAAGATAACCTAAAATCCCTGGTTTCCAAAGAAGAGCTAATATGTTTAATGTCCTCTAGTGCCAAAGCCAAAAATATGCCCCACGATTACCAGAAACACTAGGGACTTGACATTTCCCGTGTTTCCCTGCGTTTAAACAAAGACGTCTTCCAGAAGAGGGCCGTTTCACTCCCTTCACATGCCAGTCACCTCCCCCCGGGACAAATGCAGCTTCTGCAAAGCTTTTCATTCATATTAACATACTAGAATTACTGGTCCTTGTTCTCCTTTTAAACACGGGGAACTCACATGCCATGGAAGCTAAACGGTTTTTAAAGTGTCTTCATTAATAATTAAGCCAATTTAGAAAATACAGATAAAGGGTACAGAGGAGAAAGGGTTGCCTATAGGTTAAATGACAAAGAAATGTCAAGAAAATAAAAATCACAGAAGGCAACATATTCACAAGGCAGCACAGAAATAAAACACTTGACCACACCAGGTTCCTCTCTAAAGGTGCAACACTTGACCTGTTGTGACACAACCACAGCTTTGCAATGAGCAATTTGATCTCAATGTTAAGTATGTAGGCTACTTATTGTTTTGTATTCTCACTCACTTTTTAGGCCGTTTATATCAACCTAATTTAACCTAATATACGTACACTTCGACACATGTAGCCTAAATTACATGGATTTAAAAAATGTGCAGTTTATGTTTAATGCCATTTGTAATTAACTCTCTCTGTGTAGCTATATTAACAAATAACCTTGACCTAAGCTAATACTTTTAAATTTAATGTTATTGTTTGCTATTGCATTATTAAAAATAAATCAATAAAGCTGCTGGAAAGTTCTTCGCCAATCGGAATTGACAAATCCTACTATAACCCGTATTCAAATGCACGATTTAATAGCTCTTATAACCTCAGCATATCCTAATAAAACATTCATGACCGAAGCGCTCGTGGACTGGAGTTTCGCTGCCTGGAAGGCGCGTCTTTGGGGCCCGAAGATATAGTAGCACAATTTATAATGTTATCAGAACACTAACAGTCAAAAAAATCAAAGCGCATTTGCCTGGAGATATGAAGTGTTCTCTATAATGGAGGTCTTCATACATGCTGAGCACAGTAAACGACATGGATTTGATGGGAAGTCTGACAGAATTTGCTCTCTAAACACAAACAACCGATCGCGGGCTTATTACTCTATACATGATAAATTAAAAACAATGATTGGCCATCTATTCATCATACAATCATCATCAACTGACAAACCTGACTAGCCTATATAAAACAGAGCAGCCTAAATAACCAGACTACAGATGTCACCCACATGCAGCCTATTCAGAATAGATGTTAACTAAATGTTTCAGTGGCTTACCTATGCCAGGGGCTGAATAGATTAAGTACAGCGCAGAAGTGGAGAGCGAGAAGAGAAATAAAAGCCCAAGAAATGACCTTCTCCGAAATCTCATATGTGTCGGCATTATACAGAGAGACGCAGATATTCTTCTATAAGTATGGACAGATATGTGTCCGGTTAATAGACGCAGATGGAGAGTCCGAGCGCAGACACGCTGATCAGGTCCGATCCCGAAATGTATCCAATCTAGAAGGGTCACTTGTCCTAGTGGAGTCTCATCATCTTCATCCCGTGTGTCACACACACACACACGCGCGCGCACTCACTCATACACACACCCTCCTGCGCGCTGCTATGAATGGAAGCGCATGGGACTCTGCGTTACGCACATATCAGGGCAATGTTCTAGGGACCGTCTGCAAAGGAGGGACTGTGTGAAAATTACTATGCGTGACTTTACTTGATTACGTAACGCTGCACGCATGGTCCAGTTTTCCCAGAGGCTGTGAAACAGACAAGTACAGTATAAAGGCGCGTACTGATCGTCGAGGGGAAATTGAATGGCCCCATTAATGCGTCTGCATATTATTTAGAGTAGGAGCTCAAGACCTTAAAACTCAAATGAGCAATTATTCCATCTGTCCTGGTAGACACTGACCAGACCAGAGGTTCAAAAGACATAAAATAATAAACTTGAATAGAACAAGGTATTGTTTTAATAATGACTACTGCAAACTAGGTAGAGTATGAGATCCAGTGCTACACCCGCACAGAATCTCCCAATCATGTAAATATTAATGGCATTGCTCATCTTATGCAGACAAGACGTCAAATAAGTCATTTATCTAAGCGGACAGCCTGTGTTTTCACCAGGATGTCATTCCAAATGAATGCATCACAGAATTGCGTATTGTAGACACGCGCACCTTATGTGAACTACAACTCCCAGCAACCATCACTCCATTGTGACGTCAGCACGTCCGTTTTTAAACTGCAATTTTCTTCTCTGCACTGATAATGCATACATTTTGTGGATACTATAAGTAACTAAATATATATGTACAAATAAAAACACGATATCTACGTTTTATTCCATTACTTCGGCTTAAAACTACCCAAAGGGATAAACTACAAATCCACATGTCCCAGAAACTACATCTCCCAGGATTTCCGGGTACGTAATGATGACGACGAATTTACTCCGCGAAGCATGGATTGTGGCGACATGAGTTTATTTTGCGATTTTCCCCCTGTGTCTAATGATTATTTGTGTTTGTGAGCACGATGAGCTTCAGTAATCGCGCTGCTGTGATCGCTGTGTTATCAGTTATATTGACGGCTGATCTCGGGCGGTTTGCGGCAGCAGATGATCAAACACACAGTAAAAACGATGAAGAATCTCACAATAATAGAGCTGTCAGTGATTTACATGATCAGAGTACTGCTGATGGGCACGGAGAGCATCTGATCAGGTATTACTTCATTACATAGCATCAGTTCGCTTGCAGTTTAACAGCAGAAAGCGTGAGTGAGTGATTGACAGAGTGACAATGTTAATCATCACTATTACAATTATCCAATAACTGATACCATGGTCTTCTGTGTTTTCATTTTGAACGATCCTGTATCATGGTATAAATCAAAGTACCATGGTATTACTACCTGATACCATCTCTGCAGCACGATACAGCAAGAGTATACATCTATTTACAGTTATAGGCCTGTGTTATGGTGTATGAATAGGATGATTCTTCTGTCTATTGATTGTTATAGACTTGTATCTTCAGATATATCATCTTAATCTTTTAATGTTAATGTGTTAATGTTAAAGTGATTGTTTAGTCAAATGTCATCATATTTGATGTAATACCATTAGTGCAGTCAAACGATTAATCGCATCCAAAATACACGTTTTTGTTTACATAATGTAAGTGTGTATGCTGTGTATATTTATTATGTGTATATATAAATACAAACACATGCATGTATATATTTATGAAAAATATTTTATGTTCATATATGTTCATGTATATATAATATAAATGTATATACATGTAAATATTTTCAAAATATATATACTGTATGTGTGTGTATTTATATATAGTATACATAATAAATATACACAGTACACACATATATATTATGTAAACAAAAACTTTTATTTTGGATGCGATTAATCGTTTGACTGCACTAAATACCATATGAAATGTATTCATCTGACAGGTTAAATGGCACGGAAAGCTCCAGCAATGACACTGTTCAGTCGACCACACCTGTGCCCAAGCCCTCGACCCCCGAGCCTCCTAAAAATGAGCCCATCCTGCCGGTGCAGACGGGCGTCAAAGCCCAGGAGGAGGAGCAGTCCAGCGGGATGAGCATTTTCTTCAGCCTGCTGGTCATTGGTGGGTAGAACCGGCTGTTTTAAAGATAAAAATGACCTCGGTGAGACACTGACAATGTGTTGGTCTTATTTCTTTTAAAAACTGAAGTTGTGATTTTTATTGCATTAGAAGAATACTAAGCGTTTCTCCAGGGTGCAGCTGCATTTCCTTAGTGTTCACTGTGTGTCTCTGAGACTGATAAATGCTTAAGAGAGGCTGATTCTGTTCATGCGAGATGGTCAATGTTTTGATGTTTTTTTGAGTCTTGAAGGTAATGTACAGTATGTGTAACATAACAGCTTAGACTCTTCTGGGGAGGTTTTCTGCTATTTGATGTGCTTTCATTCAGACACGATATTAGTGAAAAACAAGACAGCAACACAAAGTTTGTCACTTGAAGCTTCATGTATGGTAGCTAGTGCTAATGAACTCTGAGTGCTGATTGTAGTAAGCTGGCTGGTGACTCAGGCTGTATTTGTGTATCTGACACCACTGAGCCAGTGACGTCACGGTGAAACTCGTGAGGTTTCAGGTTGATGTTTTGGGATCGGCCCTCGGCGCTGATGTCATCTGTCTGCGTCGTTGCCATGTGTGTTTGTGTTTGGTGCATTGTCTGTATTGTGCGGCGTGAGTGTAGTCTGACACACTGACAGGCTCTACATATGTGCTCATGAATTTGTTCATAATGTCTTGGATGCTAGATGTTTAATCTAGGTTGAAGTGTAATTATAAACCGGCACTAAACACATCACATCACTATGGGTTACTGTGACACAGCACAATCACAGTTCACCTGGTGTAACTTATCTCTTTGTACTTGACTAGACCTTTTACCTTTTAGAGAACGTAGACATATGATATTGCATATTGAATAATGATATTTATTTGTTGTGTTTATTTATTGATTTTTTAAAAAGTGATTTTAAACACAAAATGTCTGATTAAAAAGAGACAAAAGAGATGATGATGAAGGAAGAAGCACATGCAAATAAATACATAACAGCATAAAAAAAAAAACATCAAAATGTAACCTTTATTACCCATATAATACTGTTCAGAAGTTGGTGATCAGAAAGATTTATATATTTTTTTTTGAAAGAAGTCCCTTATGCTCACCAAGATTGCATTTGTTTGATAAAAAATACAGTAAAAAACATAAAATATTTTTACAATTTAAAATAACTTTTCTATTTGAATATATTTTAAACTGTAATGTATTTCTGTGATCAAAGCTGAATTTTCAGCATCATTGCTCCAGTCGTTAGTGTCACATGATCTTCAGAAATCACTCTAATATGCTGATTTACTGCTCATTATTATCAGTGGAAACAGCTGTGTTGTTAAATATTTTTGTAGAAACTATGATAAATGTATTTCTTTAAATAGAAAATTCTAAATTAGACCACTGTTATGAAATATAAATATTTTATATTATAGAAACCTTTACTATTATAAAATTTTTTAGCTGTAACTTTTGCCACTTTTGATGTGACTTAAAAAACAGAAAAACAAAAACAAAACATACGTATATATATATATATATATATATATATATTGTAACGGGGTGAAGAATCACACGACAAGGAAATCTTAATAAATACCCCGGAGGGTGGATTTATTGGTGAGGTGCGTGCTAGGGAGAAAGGTCCAGGTAGGTGCTCCGGTGCCGTGAGTGCTCTCTTCCGTCTTCCCAGTGCAGAGGGTCCGTGCAGTGCTCCTGTGGGGCTGGTCGGTCACACGCTGCTGTCTGTGGGAGAAATGAGAGGGCGAG